GACAGTCTCGAGGGATCCGAAATCCTCCCACATGCCTCATCGCCAAAAGAGAGGAAAGTGAATGCAACGAAGAGAGAGAAAGAGACCGTCCCATGTGACATGTACGATTGTGAAAAAAAAATACCTCGACATTATTTCGGCATATAACCAATTCTAGGTGACTTATTTACACAAAGCAAGTCGGTTCCGCTGCGTTAATCCCGCGCGAAATTACGCGGATTAATGCAGGGAAATTGAAATCGAAATTCTCGTCGAGATTGAAAAATCTTGGCGAGAAGGTAACGCGTAGTACGAAGAAGGATAGAAATAAATAAGAGAACAGAGAGAGAGGGTCGCGACGCTACTTTAATTAAGCGACCATCAGTATTTCGTTCGTTCGCGCGAGAACGCACTCGCTTTAAATCGTAACAGTCAATCGCCGACATTGTCCTAAAAGGAATCCGACGAAACGGGGACCCGGAAACGCCTAATTCGATTTCGCGCTCGTGTAACGGACGTATATAAACACGTGAACTTCGGCGGGATGATTGCGTCACGACGGCTCTGCCGCCGTCGCAGTTGTCGTCGTTGTCGTTGTCGTGAAAGTTTGTAAAATACCGCATCGGATCCTCTTTCGACCGACCGATCTATTTCCGTTATTTGAAGTAGAAGAGGCGCACGGAGACTCGCACGCGAGCGCGCAATTGATCGCCGGCGAAATACGGCGATAATTTGCAAAATTGTTTAATATCGGAAACTAATCGGCCTGGACACAAATTCGGCGTTTTAAGTGGGGCCTCTGCGTCGGCGAGAAATTAATTCTAAGCTCGATTATATACTGAGAGGAGGAAAGGAGGGGATGTTCTATATCGAGCGCGTTGAAGCTCGGGAAATGCGAATTTTCGAAAATTGCAAACCGCCTACACCGCACCTTATACACAGCATCAACGTGCATAATCGGATTTCACGTGTACGTTGCGAACTTCGTCGATATGTGTACGCGTGCGTATATATATATGTGTGTGTGTGTGTATGCGTATGCGAAACCACATAATGAGCCATAGAACGTTAACGCGAAGTGATTGCCAATTAGCATCGATGAGGGAGATACTGGTGGGTCGTAACGGCACAAAGGCAAGAAAGAAGAACCGACGTAAACCTTGTTTACCATCGACTACAACCCCGGCAGAAGTATATGCAGTTTGCGAGACATCCGCCCAGTTATTGTCTAGTATCAATGCATTCTCATTAACATAAAAATACTGCCTGGGAACTGGACAGGAACTCGATAAAACTGCGTTCAGTGGTTGAAGCAGTTTACTGTACAACATGTGGACCGAATTTCTCCAAGATATAGTGTCGGTTCAATATCAGTTCAGTTTTATAATGCATATGTATTATAATGTCCATGAACAAGTCTGAAATTCATTTATATTGTTAAAAAAAAAAGAGTTTAAAATTGTGTGAACGAGATGAATGAACGTGTAGAAGAGCATAGAGCAGGAAAAAGGAAGTTGAAGGAAATTTCAGGCATTTCGCAATAAAGACATTAACTAGACTTGGTTCTAAATAAAAATTAGAAACAAAAGTGAGCAAAAGACAAATGGGATATGTTAATAACATAAAACTTCCATTGCGAGTTCAGAACACACCAAACTATTCAATACTACTCAACACTACAGAATCTGATGAAATAATACAACTACAAGAACGTATAAAATTTATTATTTGATAACTATAAAAGATATAACATAAAAGACGAAAACTTGAGAGAGAAAATATATATTATGTGTCAAAGATTTCCTACGCTATATATATATATATATATATATATATATATATATATATATATATATATATATATATATATATA